AGAGAGAGAGAGAGAGAGAGAGAGAGAGGGTAGTTCAAACAAAACACAATTTAATCGTGACGCGCGTCGCGATCGTTCGCCGTTAATTACTCATGCATATGCAACGACGTGTAAAACATGAAATTAAAGGGACGCCGAAGGGGGCTGTGGAGAGTTGGGGCGGACAAAAGCGTGACGTTTTTCCGCAGGAACACGAGCGTTCGAGCGAGCGAACTCGATGCTAAATGAAATAATTATGCGAATCGTACGTCGTAACGCAGCCACCCACACGACCGCTTGTGGACTGAACGGACGTTCAACTGTTTTTTTATTTTATCTCACTCCTGTGACCACTATATTACGTCGCTGCTGCAATAAAACGCAATATCTATTGCGACGACTTGCGCATTTAATTGTTCGCGTAAAATAAACATACTCGCTATCAATGATGAAGAGATATCTACTGTAAACTATACAATTTATCGATTTTTTTGTTAGATTATTTTTCTCGATTACGTTGTAAAGTTCTGGTATCTTATAAAGATCTTTTCGTAAAGCAGAAGTACGATTTTTCTTATGTAAGAGAATTAATTTTTTCAGACCCCTGATCTTAATGTTACTATTAACATAAGAAAACACTAATTTAAAATAAATAAAAAATTTTTTTTAATTAATACAAGAGCACTTTAATAAGTAATTCGTACTAAACACAATTTATTTTCTCGAAATTTAAATTATTTTTTCAATATATACATTATTATGTATATCTGATCTCCGACGATAGAATTAAATAATTTCAACAGAAAATTTTTTCAAATTTGATGTACCGGATCTGAAGGGTTAATAAAAAAAAAAACAGCATAATAATAGAGCAATATCAATGAATATATAGAAATTCGAATATCGATAAATATTTAAGAGTACGTACTGTGTTATGACAGCGTTTGTACTGTGAGTTTGAACGTTAATTACTATTGCTTTGTCGAATTGAAAATCGATTAATTAACGCAGATTACATCTTGGTAATAATTAACGATAGTTAATTAATTCCTTTTTATATTTCGTAATTTGATTGTTTCAGAGATAAACAGGAATGCGGTTGTTTTTTTTAAAATTCTTTCGTATTATAGATGTACATTTCGTAATATTTCGCTCTCGCATAATTACATCGCGTTCTTGCAAGATGTCTACACCGTTTTATATTGTAATGCATACGTTATGTGTTTGTCTCAAATTCCGTGCAATAGTTTATTACGATGACAGAATGTCGCGAGGTATCAGTTATTATTGAATTGCAAATTATCCAGCGAAAATTTATTCAAAATTTATTTCGCTGGCAATCTGCCGCTCATACTTCAACGCATATTGCGCAGTTAAGTAGATACGTCATATTGTAACATATGCATGTAAAGCGTCATCCTTCTTGGCCTTTTTTTGTCATAGTATCCTTTAAAAATTGTTTTAATTAATGCCAATGTGAAAATCGTTGTTCAATGGTATTTTATGGATTCATGTTTCATTCTGTTGATTTATTTTGTGTATTATTTATTTTTCGTGTACTGGTCCAAATATGTACTTTTGTCACATATATATATCTCTATTATCTTATTACGTATTCTGTTACAAAGCGCATCGTCACCGAGCTGCTCGTTTTCGCAGCTTTGACTTGTAACATTAAATTAATGGAAAAAATGCATTAAATGAAAAGTTCATAAATGCGCTTTTCGAAGTTTACGGAGCTCGATGTGGCGCTATCGCACGGTGGATGTAACAAGTTTTAGAGCAAGAGCATGCCCGGGCAGAACGTGCCATCTAGCCGCAACGAAAGGCGGGAAATTATTGATCGTAAAAATGGCGCTAACGTAAAGTTGTGTAAGGCGGATATCAAGTCATAATTTTTGGTGGCTCTGACGACTCGAATCAATTTCTAAACGATCGTTCCTCTTATTTATTAAAATAATAAGATTCCTGTAGTAACAATGACGTCAATTCCATACGGTTGAATACTTCGAAGACCTTCATATTTAAATTTAAAAGAGAAAGAGTCAGCCTGTTACTGTCTCCAAAAATCTCGTTAAAATTTAAATTTTATTAAAACATTTTTAAATTATATTCAAGTTGTGATTTAGATTTTTCAATTATGATTCTTAACTTTGAGGCAATGAGTTACAATTTAAAAAATTTAAATATAAATTATTTATAATTATATAGACAAACACAAGTTCTCTGTAAGATATATGTAAGTAAATAAAGAAGAACTTTATAGCTTTATTTATTAAAATAATGTGTCGCAATCAAATAACTTACTTAATAAATTACACCCATAGTCAATTAAAACTTTTGACAATAAATTTTATAAATAATGAAGTTAATAGTCATAATTCTTAATGAGAGTTATTATTCTTTTAAAAGTTATTAAGTGTAAGTAATTTGCGAATCTTCAACAATTATGTGAGTTAGTAGTTGTTAATTTTATCATTGAGAAATTATTTGATTATTTCGCAACTAACGTTTTCATTTATCTCGATCGGAGAGATAACTGAATTTGTTTGAGCAAGCCTACGGAAAACTCAGGGAAACCGAAGCAAAATTGGACGCAATATTTTTTACAATTGACAAAGAAAGTAAAATATATCGACAAAACCAGTTACATACGGGTCGCACTGGACCGACCGAATTGGTGAAACGAAAGTAGCGCAGAACAGCACATTCGTTTCTACGTGTTTCCGGAGCGGAACCACATTGAGAGCTCCCGGAGGATACGGTATAGCTACGCAATCAGGCAAAGTTGAAAATGGACTTACAGGGAGAACGGCCAGGACGTCTCGAGCTTCTGCGACGGGCGCTTCTCGTGCTTCGCGGCATGCCGGTTCTCAATTCCGTGGCAACTATGTGTGGAACAAAAAAAAAAACAGAGAGACATAAAGATTAGAATTAATTCCATTACACGTTACGTATTGTGCATATTAGTAGGGATTTCGTGATCTCTCGCTGTCTCGCGGATCTCTTGCTCTCCGTGGTTGCTATATATGCCTTGTATCATCGGAGTGGTGAGAGGAGCGAGAGTGCAACATCGTAATAAGTATATACGCTCTAATAAATATTACAGCTGGCAACGAAACTCCGATGTTGTACTCCGTGATGTAAATATGTGACTTTAGAATGGATCCATGCATCATAACAGGAAACATCAGAGCGTAAGAGAGATAGACAGATAGAGAATCAGAATCAGAAGATCGTTATTTATTAGACATTCTGGGACCACTAAAACGTACAAGCACATCTACAAAAAAGAGAAAAGCAAAGTTGAGTGGTTTATATAACAAAGATACGGTAAACAGAAATAACAATAAAAAAGGAAAAAGTGTGTAACGAGAAAAAGAGTATGTATGTATTTATGTGTACGTGACTGTGCAAGTCACGCGTACACATACAGGTAATGTATAGAAAGAGAGCAAGAGAGAGAGAGAGAGAGAGAGAAAGGGAGAGAGATGAAAGATAAAAGTACATGTATACAAAAAGAGTACTGATACGTTTAAAATAAATTCATTAACTAACGAGTGGATTTGCATTCTTACAAAGAAAATCGCTACGCGACGTGCGAGCAAACGAACTGGATGAAATCAACCGCGAAAAGGAATGGAACAGAGCGGCGTTTAATTTAAAACATATTTAATAAAACAATACATTATCCAATTTTTTGCATCGGAAGTCAATTTATACCTCGTCTGGTGAGTCTGGCAAATTTCAGATCGATTTTTTTTCATATAACGAGGTCAATTAGACACCGCTATTTTCTGCATTAAGTATCTCCATGACCGAGATTTTTTTTTTTTTTTTACTAAGCTAATCAAGCTCACAGATAAAAGATGAATATTTGACGCGAGTTGCTTGCAATCGATAAAAGATTTTTAATTAATTAAAGAGATTCATATTTACTTAAATGTTTATAGTAACAGTAAGAAAACATTTCGAATTGAGGAATCTTTTGAAGTGGAGCCACTCTTGCGAGTCTTTTCGGCAGCAATGCACATTTTTGCCGAAAGTGCATGTCGATTAGCATATACATTCGGTACACGCGTTGCGAACAGATTGCATAAGCTCGATTCAGCGGAATCGCGCACTGCGAAGCATGTATACTCTCTATTATAAATAAATAGCAGAGATAAAATAGATTGGCTGACAAAGAAATTAAATTACTCTCGCCTGTAGAATCACACAGTAACGTAACATCCTTTAAATTACAGTCATCAGCATATAAGTCACACACACACTGTCGGTTAATTAATATCGTTTTAAAGGCCATTTTGTATACAACAAAAATAAAATCGCGACGTTTGATTTTTATCCAACATTGCTTACATAAATTCGATGGAATTTTTCGATGCGATGTTTGAATTGAAAATTTGAATGAAAGCCAAAAACCATTCCAATTTTGATGTGCTATGCAAATATCGACGACGACATTGTGTTCAGCGAAAAAAAAATCTTCGGGAAATGTACCATCACACTTTGTGGAAAAAAAATTTTTTTTGTCGAGTGAGTGTTCTTCGTAAAAGTAGCCAAATATTTATCGAAAAAACAAAAGTCTCCAGACGTCAAAAGTATGTTAAACGTTACACTAAGCCCCAGTCCTTCTAACGTCGATTGACTATAACGAATTGTCCAATAACACTTGGATTCGTTCCTAAAATGGGAACGATCGCACGGAGCGCTGTGATTTAAATTAAATCAACGTCGACTGGAAATTCTTTCTCTCTCAGGGACCAATCTTCCACCGACGTGAGTGTCGTTGTATTAACAAAATCGCTCGCGGGAGATTCTGCAAACGAGACTCACGGGTCTACCAGAAGCGCGTAAAACCGCGTAGCGGAATTGTCAAGTCACCCGTGCACTTTTGCGACATACACCTAACGCCACTCGCGAAAGATCCGCCTACGCGGATTTGGGCCGAGAAAGGTATCGCGGTCAAGATTCCGCGCAGGGCTCGATCGCTGCAATATTTCGACTGTCGGTGGCAACGGTGTGGCAGGTAACGTACACGCGGTCGGTCGATACCAAACGCCGGTGTGACCTACAGGATACATCAGTGGTGATACGGCACCGCGCGAAACACACGGTATAACCATCCCCTCAGGCCTTCCCTTCCGTCCTTACCACCCCTCCCCGCTCATCCTATACACGTACTCGGCATGCCTGTACGTGAAACTCCAAGTGCTTGTCATTGTCTGGCGCGGAGGGCGCTTGACCTTCCGCAACGTATCGAGCACATCCCCGATTTCTTTTCAGTCGATTGTGCGAAGGAGAGCCGCGGCCATATTTTTGGAAGAAGAAAGAAATTTACACCTGATACGTTCAGGATATAATCTGTCTCGTTGCTGTGGGGGTTGCTCCGATTTATTCGCATTCTATCCGCGCACATACATTCAAAGAAAAAGGAAACCGACCCTATCCAGCCGTCTTCTCTCTTCTGTATCTTGTAGTCTCTGATACCACAGCTCTTCTTCCTTTCCATCCCCGATCCGTTCGCCGTGCGAGGTCGAGCGCCCTTTCGAAATTTGCCGATGGCCAAAGGACGCCTCGAGGACTGTGCTCGTCTGGCCTCGAATCCGAGATTCTTATCTTTTAACTGAAAGCTTGTGGAAAGAAGGTGTTATCGAACGACCTTACCACTTGTGAACGTCGTCTGCAGCTACTGCGGGATCGCGGAGCTAGTATGTACGTCGGTCGACTTAGGAAAATATTCCCGACGAAATTTCCTACTATATCCTAACTTTCCTTTCTTTCTCTCTTTCGTTTTGTTATTCGCCGTGGCAAAATATATACATGTTTGCTTGGTATGCAAATACTTGAAAACAGCATAAGATTTTCGGCACTGAGTATTCATTATGGAAAGTATTTGCATTTCTCGTGAATCGTTATTACGTTAAAGTAAAAGTTTGAAATTTATAACGAATCTATTTAGAGAACTAGTTCATTGATTGCGATTATAATGATTAAAACTTTTTTCTTTCTCTGACATATAAATTCATTTTTGTAAATTTCTTTCGTGATAAATTTACTTTTCATCATATTTATAATGAAATATTCCTCTGAAGAAATAATAAACTAAGATATATGTAACTATAAAAAAATATATATATAATTATATATAAAATTGAGATATGTATATATCTATGTTCGTGTAGAGAGAGAGAGAGAGAGAGAGAGAGAGAGGAGTATAAATTATAAGATGATAGAAAGTTTTAGATGTGCTGATCCTTGCGTGTTCGTTCATGCAATGCAGTCATTGCGGAATCTTTCACGCTACATAACGCCGCATGATGCGGTCTATCAGCTATACAAAATAACTTCATGAAGAAATCAGCTGCAGATTTTTAGCGGTAGGAAGGCCTGACGTTAGCAAAAAAATAGGGCAGATTTTTATAGAATCGATGCCAGGGAATACATTTGTTGTCCTCGTGTTTACCCCCGTTGGGAATCGCAGCGAAAATAACGAAAGTCATAGTATATTTCCGTTTGATGCACATCTCTCTAACGCGACAACTAATCCAAATGTTACTTTCCACTGGGAAATATCTCGTTTACATAATCAAGAATTATATAGCTAACCCGGCTCACGACGCTGTTACTGCGTCACATAGCTATCTACCGATAAACTAAAACACGTCTATTGATATTATGTTAAACACCACTGTCCTCATGTAGTAAAACATTATGCTCTCGATGGTGCAATTAATCTTCAACTGTTATAGCTAAATTTACGTTCAACTATGTTCTCTTAATGTCAATGATGAAACATATTATTATGTCTATAGTATGTGAAGTAGTTGGCGTCCCTTCCACAATATATTAAAAAAAAAATTGGTTAATAAAAAATTAAAAGGTGATTCATTCTTAAAAGATCACTGATTTTCATTCATTTTGTGTAAAGTATGAAAATGAAATAAATTTTATAAATATGATTAGCGAAATATTTGTCTGGTGTATTTTATTATTAAATATAAATATTTAAACAATTATTTATTTAAATTTATTTATATAGATATTATTTATTAATAGACATTATTTCTGTGAAGTATAACGAAGCAACAACGATAGGTGAATTTATCCGTAACCACCGATCACATTTTAATTGCAATTTTAATTCATGATTGCCGCGAGCAATATTGAAATGCAATCTATATGAATACTGTTTGGACATTATAGTCCGTGTATTTAGATATTGTCCATATATCAGAAAAAGATAATTTTATATATTATATATTATAATTAATATATAGATTAAAATTTAAATCGACCTGTGTGAAGCTGGCCCCCCAATATTAAAAAATCGATTTTTTTCTTCATGCATTCGTTTGCTCATCGTTTGCTCACGAATGCTCAGTTGGAATTTTCGTTTGCTCACCTTTAGTTCAAAAGATTTGTGAGCAAACAATGAGCAAACAAAATGCATGAAGAAAAAAATCGATTTTTTAATTCGATACCAAAACTTAATTTTCTTGTGTCTTTTGAACTAAGGGTGAGCAAACGAAAATTCCAACTGAGCATTCGTGAGCAAACGATGAGCAAACGAATGCAAGAAGAAAAAAATCGATTCTTGAATATTGGGGGGCTAGTGGAAGTTGGCCCCCCAAAACATAATTTTCGTATATCTTTTGAACTAAAGGTGAGCAAACGAAAATACCAACTGAGCATTCGTGAGCAAACGATGAGCAAACGAATGGATAAAGAAAAAAATCGATTTTTTAATATTGGGGGGCCAGCTTCACACGGGTCTTAAATCGTCATAAGTCCACTTGTGCACTTTGTAGTTTAATTTCTTTTAGTATTAAAAAATTATTCAATTATTCTTCAATAATACTTGTGGATTCCATAAGAAAGTTTA